TCCAAAACGTTAATAAACGCATGGTGCACCGGCTACGTCAAAAAGTATAAAAAGTGTCTCGGCCGCATTAATAACCACGATCGTTAATCTAGAATTGCGGGGCGATATTCCGGCAGTAAAATTTTATCGCGAAATTATTCGCTTTTACTTTAAGTGCGTATCACTCGACGATCTAATTACAGCTACGTGCCAGAATAGAACGAAAAAAAAAAAAAAGATTTGTATATATTTAAATCAGCGTGAAAAGAGCGGAATTGCTTTGGAGAGGAGGGACCATTTCTGAGCGGACGATCGAGAAACTTGAGCGGACAGGAAACATTTCAGCCTCGAGGCCGAACATTAATAATTCCTCGAAAAGCAGGCTGGAAGTTAATCGGGAGGAAGAAATTGCGACGCTGGATCGGGATCGTTGCAAAATCGGAGCGCTCGAACGAGCGCTCTTTACTTCTCTCTCTCTCTCTCTCTCTCTCTCTCTCTCTTTCGAGCGACTTCCTCCCGATCGATCGGTCTTCCGGGTTCGCGCGAGAAACCTCCGCGACCGATAACGCCAGAAGTAGGCTCGGCTCTCTAACTCTAGCCAGTTGAATGCCGCGCTCGAATCTATAGGTAGATGCATCGCGTATGCACCGTATGCGCGGTTAGACCTACTTTACTCGGTCAAGAGATTAGTTGAGTTGCGAGCGCAACAAAAACACGAGGCGCTGCAAATGTTTCGAGTCGTTAAATCTAATTATATGTTTTTAACCTTGCTAGCTAATGAAAAAGTAGTAGAATCACGAAAAATTAAAAGGTATTTCGAGGCTTAGTATTTATCAAGGAGAACGCTCTTTAATCTTTAATTCTCATAATCAGTCAAGACGTACCGTGCAAAATTCCGTTGCGCAGAAATACCAAAAGGCGTTCGCGTATATCGAATCGCGAAGTTGATCGTTATCCCGCGTGTATATATATATATCACGTCTAATCCCGTCATCAATTTTCCGAGTGTTCGCTAAAAAGTCGGTAAACGTAAGTAGCCTCATTTGGCGAACGGATAAACGACGACGGCCGTATCGCGCGTATACGGGGAAGTTTTACGCGGTCAAACGAGTCGCGGCAGGAAACTCTTTAGCTGTGGGCCGGTTGTTTTCTACGAAACGATCGTAGACCTCGAGATGCGTCCCGTGCACAGCGCGCGCTCTGCTCCGGTGTTTACGGATCCCTTCCGTACCATCGATCTTCCGCGTTCTGCAACGATGCGGCGAATGCATAAGTATTGTTCTAAGAGCAACAAGGATGCGCGACGGTCGGCATGCCGGCCGCAAATAGTGAAACACGCCCAGCGTGATCCTGCCGCGGGTTATCGTCCCGGCATTAATCCTTCCAGGCTTTGCCCGATGACGATCGTCCTAGCGTGCTGGTTGAGCGAAGCGTTGCAGGAAGAGAACGTAACTTTGTGCGTCGCAATAATTTATCAAAGTTACTTTTCGAAAAGTAACTTTTTCAATGTAAATTTCTAAGCAAAAGAAAATCTGATTTTTGCAAATATCTCAAAAACTTTTTTTATATAACTTCCCAAACCGCGTTTGGGAATATCGACCGTGCAGGTTCTCCATACGGTTACCGGAAGCTATTACGGGAAAGAAGGCAACGGGGCCGCGTGCCGGCGATAATTATCGGATTCAGGGGCGAAGTTCGCGGACGAATTTCCGCCCGTCGATTCTTCCGGGTGAGCGGTGAACGCCCGGAGTCGTCGACGCCGGTATAATCGATATCGTTCGACGACCGGGTGAAACGAGTTTCGGGCGCGAACGAGGGGAAAGAGAGAGAGAACAGCGGGAGAGCTCCTCGTTTTCTCGTGCGGACGATCGTGTAACCCTGTAGGAAACCTTGCGCACGCGAGTTTCACTTTGCGATCCTCCGTTACCGAACTTCTTGTCCTGTCACGGATGCAGGAGGCGGTTAAACGATCGGTTGTAATGAGTCGAGAAGCAGAAGCACCTAGTCGCTTCGCGCGAGCGTGAATGCGCTTTTAACGCGAGCGGCGCGGCGCGGCGCAGCGACGTGATCGAACACGAGCACGGCGACTCCGTGACCTTATTCTTTCTCGCATGTTGAAGTGTCACACCGTTTGTCTCTCTGGACTAGAACTAGAGAGTGCGACCGGTTGCGGGAGAGAAAATTCTCTTTTTCCGCGTGCTTTTCCGCGCTCGCTGCTCCAGTTCGACGTCGTATATATGTATCTCGGACTGCGGCAGCAGTCTCTCCGCTGAATCGCGAAGCGAATCTTGTATAATTGAGATAGTATCGGCTGTGGAAAAAAGGACGCATAAGCGGAAAGCCCGTTTCGAGGCTCGGGGAGATAAAGTTCCGAGTTTATTTTATAGTTAACGTTAATGGAAGCTGTAAACAGTTACACCCTACGAGGTAGAATAAAATCTTTAAACATATATTTTCTGAAAGCGGTGTTCCTGCTTATCGATTCTTTTCCCAGCCGAAGCTTTATTTAATCTTTACCCGCGAATGTTATTTTTCTTTAGCGTCGCGCCAACGTGATTTACTTCCAGTAGTTTTCGCATAAAATGGTTCGGTGAGAAGGCGCTTCTCTTACATATTTGTCATAAATCTGAATAATTCCGAAGACGTTCGGGTATCTCCACGGAGGTGTCCACGAATACCCACTGGATACGTCTGTCTACTATACGAGCGACGATTCTCCGAAGCGGTGCTGTAATTTACATGCTCGCAAATCGCTTTCGCAATTTCGCTCGGACGTGTCCGATCGTTCTTTTTTCCTTTCCCCCTTTTTTTTCCCATCCCGATCGTACATCTGCCGAGGATTATTCGCGAACCGAGATCGCAATCACGGCCGTTCGTTTCGCGAGGCGCAACGTTCGTTGTCCTACCCGTAAGGCTCCTTTCCTCGTCCATCGACACCGTGTCATCCGATAGCCGCAGGATATACGTGCCTAGCCGAGAGAGTGAGAGAAAGAGAGATAAGGAGATATATCGATTGTGCCGTTCGGCGTCTCGCTTTTGTACGAGTTCGCGGCCGGTCGCGCCGCGCGCCGCGCCTAGAGATCCGAACATGGGGATGCACTTCGATGCGTCCGCGCGCGCGGGGCAGAGGGCCGGAAAGATAGGAGGGTAACGCGGCCGGAATTAATGCGGAGAGTGAGTAAGCCGGCTTGGTAGTCGCGCGAAGGGAAAAAGGGATTTATGCATCGCCAACGTTGATAAAATATATCGTCCCGCAGCCCCGGAGAGATATATGTATGCACCTCCGTCTCTTTTCTCATCCGATGCTCGCCTTGCACCTCGCATATCGCATGCGCGTGTGCTAACTTGCGTTTTTCTTGTCTGCGCGAAGCACGTTCTTGGTATCGCGGTATCGTCTGAGCCTGAAGTGAGAGAAGGACCTTGGAAGATCGATAATTTGATAATTGATATTGAGACGACTGATAATATAATCAGAATTATTGTAATCAATAATCGTGGACATTTCAATATTATTGATACGTCCGTAGATTTCTATTACCGTCACAAGTTACAAAAAAAAAAGATATCGCGTTGGAAGGATATCGCCCAAAGAAACGCAATTAGCGTTTTAGTAGAAGCGTAATTAGCGTTTTAGTACAAGATCGTCAAAGAAGCGGATCCGTCCGCGTGGTGTCCGGCAAGATGAGAAAGAGATCGCCGAGGTGGGGGACGGATACAGGGGAAGGGAGAGAAAGAGAAAGAGAGAGAGGGAGAGAGAGAGGAAAAAGAGAGGAAGAGAGAGAACGCCGCGCACTTAGGGCCTTTCGTCACGGAGACGAGGCGAGAGCTGGCCGCGCGCGGTCAATGGCTGCGGTATCCGCAGGTTCAAGGAAACCGGGGCTGGTCCGATTCGACATCGTGTCGTGTACCAGGGGAAACCGAACAGGTGACGCGCCTGCCTCTGTGAAAATGCAGGTTAATGGAATGCCGTCTAAGTAGCCTCTGCCGCGCTGCCTGTGCAAGTGCATACTATTACACAGCGACTGGATTCTCGAGAATCTTCCACGCTCCGGCGATCGGGATAGAGAATTGTGTCGTGCCTCGATCGAAAACATTACCACCGACACGTAGAGAACTGGTTGTAAAGATTCGCGCGCGTAATTTATTCCACTACAACGTAGTGAAATTATCGCGCATAAAAAAAAAAAAAACTCGCAGATATAAACTAGTTGCGTGTAGATATTTATTAAATGAAGAACGTGCCGCTAAAGCTGGAATCTTACGTGAAAAAATTATAGGAAAAAAGAGTGCTTTTGCTTCTTTTTTATTTTGTGATATTAATTGCGGGGAGAGTGATTATTTATCGAGACAGCCCGATAGAGCGAGAATAAATCCGAGATGTTTTGAATACCGATTGTTTCACGCATTAATTCTAATGAGGCAACGAATCTCATTGTTACGGACTCTTTCATAAGCATGTAAGTCTTTTCACAATTCACTCGGTCGTTACGAACGAGGCAGCAGTGATTTTCTCGTCAGTCAATTTTACGAGCAAAGACAATTTTACGATAAAAGGCTTCGATCAAGCTGTGCGTTAAACGTGAAATTCTCCGGTAAATATACGTGCTGCATGCGCAAGATTAGATTTCCGAAACGTTGGAGTTTAGTCGGAGAAATATGTCAATCATATGCGACTAATGTTTACACTTCGAGTAATGTTAATTTATGTTTGCCAACTTGTTCTTACGCGATTTTTCAACACTCGTGCCCTTATGTATTTTGGCGATTGCATGGAGGGTCTTTCTCCATGCGCCTCTATCAGCGCCACGACATAGCAACGAGCTCATCGATCGGCCACACGGAGGCAGCTTTTTGAAAGCCGCGCGAGGGAACCGCGAGAAACCCCAACCGGACGACCGACGACACACGAACGGGGAGGAGCGCGAATAACGCTTCTCGTATATGCGTGTGCCGGCGTTGGGCGGTGCGTGTGTACACGCGACTCGCGTCTCGTATCGATCTAATATTCTTTTTTCTCATACCGATGCATGAAGGCGGCGGTTGACATGTTACTATCCATGGGGTGGTTCCATAAATCCCGGCCGGGCCCCGCCAACGCGACCCTCTCGACGGCACTCCCGCTCGCGGTGCTCCGAGCTTCGCTTCGTCACCCTGTCCTCTCGATACGGCACCACGATCTCGAGGCAACCTCAGGGAATCCACGATGCACGGGAGAATCCGACGCGACGCGAACGCAGCTAGTAACAACGACTAAAGTAGATAGAATCGCTCTCTGCCGACACCTGCCTACGTCGATCCGGGCAGGTTGAGACCGTTTGCCTGACTGAAAGGCAGAATGCGCACTAGCCGGTTTCCATGGGTGGATGGTGGGCCGATGGTGGTGGACGGCAGAAAGGTGGTGCTGGAGGAGAGAAAGAGAGAGAGCGAGAGAGCGAGAGAGAGAGAGAGGTAAAGCTGGTGGTGGAGGTGGCGGTGGCGGTGGCGGTTGTACCCGTGCTCGGAGGACTGGTGGGGGTTTTGACGGAAACGTCCTGTACCGGCTGCGCACTGCGTTCTCCATCAGGCAATGGCACAGACCTCAAGGCACTGTGCGCATGATGGTGTTGGCCGAGAAACCCATAGGATTGACCCATGAGACGTAGAGTGAGGTCCTGCTAGAACCGAGACTAGAAATCGCCGCGTGACGCGGAGAAACCGTCGTTAAATTTACGTCGTGCAATTTACAAAATTCCAATTATAAAGAGACTGTTTTTTTAAATAAATCCTGCGATATATACGTGATTACTGTATTTTATTAATACTTTTAATTAGTATAATTGTATTTATTATTAGAAAATGGAAAATCTTTAATATTTTTTAAAATATGTGAAAAGCTTATAAGTTATATCTTTTGAAAAAATATATATTTTTTCAGAATATTATTATTAGGGAAATATATGATCTTGATTTAGATTTGTTTTATTTTACAACTTTCTCTCTCTCTCTCTCTTTCTCACACACACACACACGAAAGTTTTATCTTCCCTATTTTAATAATAAAATATCCCAAAATCTTCAAATTTTTTTGTCTGTCACAGAAATAATTCATTTTAGCATGATTTTTGTTTTTAAGCTACGATATTAATTTCTTTGTATACTGTACGAGGGAAAGTAATGTATTCCCGGTAGTTAGTTCATCGCGAAGGCGCGGCACTTAAGATGCAACTTGTTAAAACGTGTGGTTGCGTTTTAGCGTAGGTTTTTCTAAAGTCGCCTTTATTGGCCCAGCGAGTATTCCGCTCGCGACGGCGATTCTGCTCTTATACAAGTTGGGAAATGTTGGCACAAACGATACAGAGCTCCGCTGAAAATTGCCATTTTTTTGCTCCTTGTTCATGAGCTTCCGCAGTTCCATTTTCATCTAGTGCCACCATCGTCGGGCGCTCTCACCGGGGCATTCATTTTATTCTTTGTCTTTCACGTCTTTCCTCTTGTTCTCGTCTTCCGTCCTTCATGCTCGCGCAGGATGCATTTTTGCACGAGAATTCAAGTTGATGTAATGGCGCGCGATTTTCGCCAGACAACGGTAGAACGGCAAATATTTGCCAATTCGTCATCATGTTGTCCAAGTGACGCGTCTTTTATTTTTGTTATGCAGGAGAGCGTGCAATTTAAAAATTCTGCAAATTTTTTAGCAAACGCCTCCTCAAGATATATATATATATATTCTCGGAATATATTATTATACAATATACCGTCCTATTTTTGCGGATTATCCTCCAAGAAATGGGATCAACCACTTACGCGTATACGCGCGATAATCAAGTTTTGTAGAAAATGACAAGTCGTAATTAGATCGCGCGCGACGTTCATTGGAGCACTTCGCGCGGACAATATCGATCATCCTTTGACGATGTTTGTCGGGAGGCGTAGTTACAATGACGCTAACTCGTATAATTGTTGGACTATACTCGGGCTAATTGCATTGGCCCGTTCGCGTAGCTTCTCTTTCCGGGTGGCGAAGTTATACAATTTAATTTATGGGCGAGTGTCTGACTGAAGTAGCCCGGAGTCCTCGGTTTAACCTGGACGACTTTGGTTTCCCCCAGTTCCGGCGCATTCGGATTCAAAGCTCGGGACGAAATCAATACGTAGATATCGCGCGCTTCAGCTATTTTCCCCGTTCTCATCGTATATCTCCCTCCGCTTCCGGTAATAAGTTTCCTCGACTGTGCGGTAAAGTATGCCAAGGAAAAAAAAAGAAAAGAAAAGGGGTCGCAGATATTGGCGAGCCTCGAAAACCGAGGGAATCGAATTTCCCCTATTTTCTTGGGTGAAATGAAAGTTGCTCTCTGACGCTCAGAAAACGTCCAATTTTCTTTTAAGAAAACTTGTGAAGATCCACAAAATTTTTCTGCTACATACGATTTTATTAATACGAATTATTATTAAAACCATTTTATTTATATATAGATAGGGATATACAAATTAATTTAAATCGCTGATATTTTGCTCACGTTATAATTTAATATAAAATTTCGGTGTTAAAGAGATACATGTCATTAGATTTCTAAGACGGGATAAGATTCGTGCTTATTAAATATTGACAGCGCATAATCACTCGACGTAAGTCGTCAGGTGAAAGAGTACGGACAAAAGAACGAAAGGAAAAAAATACAGTCCATAAGGACGGCGCGCTCATCGTGATCGGCGCTGCAGAACGGACGGCATTATTCGCAGAGCACGTAGCGATTCATCCGTCATTGTCCGACATTCCCTTTGTAACACGTTACACGAGGATGACTTTCGCGGCATATGGGCTCATTCACCGGTGAATCGCTGCAGGCGTGTACGGCGCACGTGCGCAGTGTCCATATAGCGCATTTTGAAGCAAGCCAACAACTATTTGGAATTCCTGAAAATATACACCAGCTGCGTTCAAACGCGATGTTTCTAGGCACTAATTAAAAGGAGTATAGCCGTAGCAATAGAGTATAACCGTTCTCGGTCAATAATTATCTCGCGTGGAAAGTCAGGATCTACTCGTTTATCATTCATCGAGAACGACGAGGCCGCTTCGTTTGCTTTTCCTTCGATTCATCGCGCAGAGGGTTCGGATAAACGAGACGCGAGCGAGAGAGGGTGTCGGGAAAGAACGGGTGTGTGCTGAACGTCAGAGACAATGAAAAATCGCGTACGAGCATGATTCGATGAGACGTTTACGGAATAGCAGCCAGTCACGTCTCGTCGAGAAGAAACGCGTAGAGCTGACGCATACCGGGGGTGAATAAACGTAAGGGATACTTCGTTAAGGGGTAACTTCGAGAGTTGCGTTATTGATAATACGGGAAATTATACGCAAACGAAGTTCGCGAGACACTCGCGCGTCGACAAAATTAGATTTAACTTCTAATATCTATTAAGTTTATATCTTTGGCTGTAAATTTGTCAACTGCACGAGCGACGTTTTTCCCAGAAAAATTGCCTGTTTTTTGTTCCTTGGCCCAAGAATCTCGCTAAAAGAGAAAACGATTAAAATTTCTCTTCTTTTTTGTAAATTTATAATGATAATTAATTTATCTCATACACTTGTTTTCTCATTTCGTTCATAGAGAGTGAAATTAAGATAACGTTTTGACGGCGATTGTACCGTCCCGGTATGCAAATCGCGACAATCAATAACCGCTAAAAGAATGGGAAGGGAATTGACAGACGATGGGGTGACGAGGTTTACTTTAGCGAGACGCTTGGATTATAAGCGATTCGTCGTGCTTTAATGCAGCGAGGTCTAATCGCAAACAATGTTGGAATATGTAAGACCCAAGTACACACACAGGGAAACCTTAGAATAATATTCGTAGAAAAACACTCACGATATCCATGCAAGTTATCTAAAATTATAAAAAGTTTTTTGTAAATTATTCTGCAGGTTAATTAAAGTCAAAATTATATCATAACAGTATTCACAAATTAATTACAAGCGGCAGATTTTAAGGAAATTATAAAGAAAATAAAAAATATTAAGAATTGCATAAAATTTAAAACAGGCTCTTTTATAAATAATGTCAGCAATGTGTAAATTTTTTCGATTTTTTACCGGTTGGTTTTTAAAAATTACTCGTCAAAATACGAGATTTTTAAATTGATTCTATGGGAGACTTGATGCTGCATATCAATTATCAACAAAATTAATTATGAAAAATGTTAAGAATTGAATAAATTTATATTTAGTACATAGAGAATATATATATATATATATATAATACTAAAAGTGCCTTCAAAGATTTGCGACGAATATTTATCTCGAACCAAATTTTAAAATATCGAACTCCATAGTTCATTAATTAACACAAGTATTTAAATAAGGGAGTACCGTGTGAGTCAAATCCATTGTATATTTCAATGCTTAGATTTTATTTCAAGTTCTAGAGTATTATTCATGAAAACTATTTTTTCGTTTAAAGTAGGTACTCGTAAAGAAATAGAGACCGTGTGGTAAAATGCGAAATAATGCGTGCTTTCTGAATCAGAGAAGATTTACGCGTGTCATCGCATTTACAAATCTAGAAATCTTATTCTTGCGAACTTTTTTATTCTCTCTCGCTGGATTGAGTTGTTTAAGTATGTCTTCGAGCAATGTAAATGCGATATTGTAACGTGTGCACGTCGATAATCCTAATAAAGTCGTTACCGCGCGCTATTGTCTTCCGTGGATGAAGCTCCGCAATAAAGGGCATGGACGGAAGTCGAGAGTCGAACTCGACCGGGCGTGAATAAATCAGCGAGATAAAGCGGGGAGCACACACTTTTGCACAACGCATAATGCGTAAGCATAAGAAAACTGATTGGTCTATTTCCTTATGCACATGTGTATGGACCAATCAATTTTCTTATGCTTACGCATTATGCGTTGTGCAGAAGTGTGTGCTCCCCGCTTAAAGGTGCGATTTCATTGAGAAGCCAGCGGCAGCTTCAAGAAAATGTAGTGGGGGAAGAAGTTCCGTTGAATTTTGCGGTACGCTAAAAAGTTGAGACGGTCTGAACTTCTTCCCCCACAACATTTTCTTGACGCTGCCGCTGGTTTCTAGCGTCAATGAAATCGCACCTTAAAACATCGGCGTGACATCGTAAACATAATTGACCGACTTTGTGACTCGCTATCGAGTTTCGCATTGACAAGAGACATTTTTCAGTGTGTCAATTACTCTGAGATTTATATGAGATTACTATGAGATTACTCTGAGATTACTATGAGATTACTATGAGACTTATACGGAATATTCTAAAACGCACTATTCAGTCGTATCTTACGCATTTTTTAAATTAATTTAA